GTGAGAATGTTTCAAGGGATCGTGGATTCAGAGCATTATCTGAGGCAAGCAACTCTAGACCAATGAGAAGTGAGCTTTATATTTGCCATATTTAAGCACATGTATGTTTCATTCCTTTATTACTTTGTTGGGATGATTTTCCTTCATTTCTTAAGGATTGGCTTTTGTAACACAATTATTTTGTTCGAGTATGGAAGATTTGCTTCCTTCTATTATTGTCACTTTAGGTTGTATTCATGCATATTTTCATTTACATATTGCTGGTCATGTTCATTGCTGCTTCTGTTTTCCTTGTATTCGCAGGTCACCGGGACAATATTCATACTTTTTACTTTATCCCCTCAACTAGCTCCAATTCTGGGTGTTCTGATGATCGCAGTTTCCATTTCAATTGGTAAATTTCTCTTGTATTTGATCATAACAGTTCATGACTGGTTGTTTTAGGCAGTGTTGTTAAATAGTGGCTATCAAGTTTGTCAGTCTCGAGAGTATGATAAGAAAAACAAAGACAAAAAAAGCTTTTTTTGTAGTATGACTGAGTCAGTATGAGTCAAACTTTTAATTCTGTGCGAGTCTATGTTATTTCGACTGAGTCTACCATGAAAAAGAGTCTGAGTACAACGCAACTTGTTTTGACCTCCTAGACTCATAAACTCACAAGTTTATGAATTGACTCGTGAGTCTTGCAATCATGGCGGCTATTGCAATGCTATAGCATAGTGGAATTTGAACAGATCGCTATTATTCTGTGATAGCATAAATCTTGTCAAATCGTGGCTATAGCAGCAACACTATTGTGTAACGGAATTTGAACAAACCTTTATTTTCAGTGATTAAAAACATTGGTTTTAGGTTTCCTTTAACACTGTTATCGTTTATTATAGACAGTAGAAATATAATAATTCCGTACGGATTCCTCCATTGCTAAACTTTTGGGAAATGTGTATCATAACTTCAAACATAAATTGCTTATATGACACAACTATTTAGCTTGAATAAAAATTCATCACTATATGAAAAAAATCGTGCCATGATATTTTTCATTTTATGCCTTCTTACATGCTGTTGATTTTTTCATTTTTGGTTTGCTGAAGCTGTCTACAAGAGATCGACTTTGCCTGTTTTTAAAGCACATGGGTTGGCTCAAGCTTCTATATCTGATTGTATAACAGAAACATTTTCTGCTATTCGAACAGTGAGTTCCTAGTAGTTCATATTATAATGAGCATCTTAATGGCTTGGATCTGTAATTAACAACTGAAAGAGTGACTTACATACTTACAGGTGCGATCCTTTAGTGGAGAAAAGCGGCAAATGTTTATGTTTGCTAACCAGGTAAGCTTATTAAAGTACCGATAGCTGTAGTCATAAAAGTAAGACACCCTCTTGAAGAGATACTTATGTGTTAATCATGAGTTCCGTACAGGTTCTATCCTTCGAATCGAGTGGTATCAAGCTTGGAACTTTCAAATCTATAAATGAATCCTTGACTAGAGTTGCTGTTTATATTTCTTTAACTGCGCTATATTGTCTCGGAGGAAGCAAAGTTAAGGCGGTAAGCAATTCTATATCGTTTGATCATATACTGCTTTTTCTTCTCATTTCTTTTTGAAGGACTTTCCATCTATGAAATTATTATTCACAACTCTTTCTGAGTAGCTAATAGTTCTTGTATGCAGGGTCAACTCTCTGTTGGAACTATGGCATCTTTTATTGGATATACTTTCACTTTAACATTCGCAGTAAGAAAATCGAGTTGTTTACTTCTTGTTTTACTTTATATTTTCATCCCTCCTTGCTCTCTGATACTGTTATGTCTCTCAGGTTCAAGGATTGGTTAATACTTTCGGAGATCTTCGTGCAAGTTTTGCGGCTGTTGAGAGGATCAACTCTGTTCTATCTGGAGTTCAAGTTGATGACGCCCTTGCCTATGGCTTAGAAAGAGAACTGAAACAAAAGGCGGTGAACGACGGGAACTATAAATTGTTCTTCTCTAATAGTTCTGACGAAAAAAACCAAAATAGCCATTTGCATTACATGTCAGCATTAAAAACATCAAGCAACGTGTTTAGTTTAGCTTGGTCTGGAGATATTTGTCTTAAAGGTATCTGTCTATCTCTATTTCAATTTTACTATCCTTCACTGTACGAATTTTAGACGTTAACAGCCATGTTTGCTAACGTTCTTGTAATGGGAGCTTCTCATTTTGACTTTTCTTTTCTTGTAAGAGATAAAGTTTCAAAGTTCCATAACTAGTTATACTCGTATTATACTGCAGATGTGTATTTCTCTTACCCTTTAAGGCCAGATGTGGAAATTTTACGCGGCTTAAATTTAAGACTAAAATGTGGAACTGTAACTGCACTGGTGGGCGCTAGTGGTGCAGGAAAAAGTACGATTGTACAGCTATTGTCTCGTTTTTATGAGGTTTGATATCTATTTCAGTATTTGTAAAGTTGAAATTTCATTTAATTTCTGTGTCTTGAAATTTACATAGGTGAAGTGACTTTTGTTTCTGTAGCCAACAAGAGGCTGTATAACAGTTGGTGGAGAGGATGTCCGAACATTTGACAAAAGCGAATGGGCTCGGGTTGTCTCTATCGTAAATCAAGTATGAAAACTATAAATAGAAAAAAGAGAAATGATATTTAATATCAAACATATTGCTTTATTTGTTTCAAAATGATAATATCAACATACGATATGACAGGAACCTGTTTTGTTTTCGGTGTCTGTTGGAGAAAATATTGCATATGGACTTCCAGATGACGATGTTTCTAAAGACGATGTGATCAAGGCAGCAAAAGCAGCAAATGCTCATGACTTTATAATTTCACTTCCTCAGGTTGGTTTGTCTTTTAGCTATGCAAATTCTTTTGTATGATTACAATGCATAAATTGTTTACCTTATTGTTGATCCTTTCTCAAAAGGGCTATGATACACTTGTCGGTGAACGCGGAGGCTTACTGAGCGGGGGACAGAGGCAGGTAAAACTTAAAATAGAGGTTGCATGCAAAACCTTCCCTTGCACGAGAATGCATGTTCTTGACTTTATTGTTCCTATATTGCAGAGAATTGCCATTGCCCGAGCTCTCCTTAAGAATGCTCCCATCCTAATACTTGATGAGGTGATATATTTGTTTAATTCTTTGTATTTATCATTTTGTCCTAAATTGTATATTGCAGAAGGTTTGTTAAAAATTCCGCTACACTACAGCGCTATAGCACTGTTATAGTTTAGTACTTGACAACACTGATTGAATCGATATAGGCCGTATCCATTTAGATATTATTCGCTTCTGCAGGCTACAAGTGCTCTGGATACCGTCAGTGAACGCTTGGTCCAAGATGCTCTCAACCATTTGATGAAGGGGAGGACAACATTAGTCATAGCTCACAGGTTAAGCACAGTTCAAAATGCTTATCAAATTGCATTATGTTCAGATGGGAGGGTTGCAGAACTAGGCACTCATTTTGAGCTGTTAGCTAAGAAGGGCCAATATGCTTCACTGGTTGGCACTCAAAGGCTTGCATTTGAATAAATTATTATGAAGGTCTTGTTAGTATTTACTGTTATTCTTCTCTAATCATTATTATAAGCAAATATTCTCTTTTCAGATTCATTGAATAATTAATGAATTTGATCTATATTTAGATCAGATACCTTATTCAATAAACTTGAAAATGGAATCTTTATTTATAATAGGGACCAATTTTCTGGCTTGGAGAATGCAGAAGAGCATCCTGATTTTGTTTAGAAGTATATTACAACGAGAAACAAAAAAGAAAGAAAAGGAAACGTAATTAATGTTTTATGGCATTTTGGTGTACAAGACCTCATCTTATGTTGATAAAAATGGTGTTACAATTTGGAATAAGAAGATTTTTTTTTAGTTTCATTGTTACCTTGGTGTGTCCAAAAATGTACAAGAGAAGTGTTTATAGAAGAGGTAATGAAATGCCTTTGCACAAGTTGCATTGTTACAAGTTGAGGATTGAGTTTAGTATATTGGCTAGTTTCTTACTTTCTAAAATTGTTATGTGGAGGGGGGATGAACTTATTGGGCCCGCAAGAGGCAGCCTGGCCCAAAGGGAACTGCCGATGTGCCGGCGGACATGCTCATGGGTAGCCCGGCCCGAACTTGTGCCCATGATCCATCTGTCTCATCACACATGGTCTTTGAGGTATCTAAGAGAAGATAGTTTGGGTCACAATAATAAAGGAGGAAATTGTCCCTCTGAAATTCGTGGAAGAATCTGTCTTTCCCTACTCCTATGTTCTTGTTGGAAAAGTAGGAGAAAACTGTTTTCTCCCTATTACCCCCCTATTACCCGGCCTAAGAAGTCATCTATTGATATTCCTGCCCCAAGGGTTGTGTATTCATTCATAATATCACAATCACCCTCTTGTGATTACACAGAGTCATCATCCTTATTGACTTGTTGTACTTTGCAAGTACTAACCATATATGTTTATCTTGGAGGATTATACTTGCTGTGAACTTGTTTTGCAGCTCAATGTTGAAGTGCATCTTTGGATTGAACATAAGTTTGGCGAAATCATGATGATGTTCTATAATTATTTCATTTAGAATGACAATTTACAAGATTTACTTTATTTTGTTTTATCACAACCAAATATTTTCGAGAAAACTATCCCATTTAAAAAAAAAACAGAAGTAAATCTTATGACTGGCAATTCAGTCATAAATGAAACAAAAATAAAAAAGTGAATGAAACAAGAATTATGCATTCAAGTGGCTGTATTTTATTGAGTGTACAAGAATTATGCAACTATTCTGTCATCGTGAATGAGAAGTCATGTCTCTAGCTATGCATATTCCTATATTAGTGTTTCCTTTGGTCTTTTAATAAGAGGAAAAGTTTATTTTTTTTTATTCATCAAATAATAAATATATCTGATTTATATATATCTGACTTATTATATAGACGAGATACATCGATTATTTAAATAAAATTTCAAACAAATTTTAGACTCTTATGACGAAGAAGAAATAGATATCATAGCATTTAACTCAGCAAGACATTCAGTTGGTAGGCCAAGGAAAGAATTCATAATGAAATCATCAATAGGATCAACTGTTGCCACACCAACAAGTCTGCATTTTCCTTCTTCATCCAACCTCATGCCTCTTCCACTCTTCATTCTTCCCTTTGATTCCTCAGATGTCAACACTGTCTTGACAATCAACGGTGGAGCCTTATAGATACTACCAGCAGAAAACAAGAACTTGGCCTCAAACTCAAGATCAACCTTGTAAGTAAAAATGAAATTTAGCAGATTATCAGATATTGTATTCGACATCAACCTTGTAAGTAAAAATGAAATTTAGCAGATTATCAAATATTGTATTCGACTTGTCATCATAAAATCGACGCTAATGATTTATTTTGCAACTGTTTTGTCCTTTAGATATAGCAAAGTTAGAAGAATAAGCCTCAAGTGTCACTAAAAGGTGTACACATGCAAGGTCTTGAAAAATGATCCGTCACTGCAAAAACAGCCGTGACAAAACGGTTTGGCAGATGTCTATGTATACCGATACAGGTATTTACAGGTTTAGCAGATGTCTATGTATACCGATACAAGTAATCACCGTTTTTATTATATACGACCGTGACCCTTATTTAAAACTGTGACAGATGATGTAATATACCTTGCCAGATTCATGATTAATACTTCCATGAAAAGCTTTTGGAACAATATCAATCTTCAAGAATGGTGGCAATGGCAATCCAAGAAACTTAGTAGTAGAGCCTGTTAATGATGGAATATACAATGTTTCAAGATCAAATGAAACAAGAATATCATTACTATCTTGATTTTTTGTTGCCTTTGCACCAAAACCATTTCCTATTCCTCCTTCAGCATCATATTCAAAATCAGGATACCTTGAAATTCCAAGCTTGCAAGCACTTTTTGTCTTGAAGTTGATAGTGTAAGCCTTATCATTATTTGATGGAGTTTCAATTGTGGTGGAAATGGTTTTTTGTTGTTTTTCACCTGAGGAAAAGGAAGAGATGATGCTAGTGTTTCTTTTTAGAAGATTTGGTTTTTTGGTATGGAATTTGCATGGTATTGGAGGGCTTGAGAAGTTTATCTTAGAACTCATTAGTGTGTGTGATGATTTCTTGATGAAAGAAAAGGAAGTTGAATTTCTAGAAATTTAATTGTTTTGTTTTATGAGAAAGCACTTTAAGAACATGAGGTTGTTTTGGATTGTGACTATGAATGAATCTTATCTTGTCATTTGAGGTCTTAAAACCTTGGCACTTGGCAGTTTAATTTAATAGCACTCCAATTGACTATTGAACTTCTATGACAAATTGGTCCAAATACAGTAGTTATTTTTTTTTTTTTATTTTTAATTTGTAGGTTGGAAAACAACTTCTATGATAATCCTGTGTTTTTTATTTTAATTTGATAAGTTTGTTAAAAAGTACTCCTCTCTCCCAAATTACAAATTATAAGACTATTGATTATTTTATACGAAATAAGAAATCTAATTAATTTTATATAAAAAAGACAAATTATTTATAATTTTACAATAATATGTTTTATTAATTATATAAAAAAAAAGAAATTAAAAAAATTGAGCAAAAAGGAAATCGTAATAAATATCAGAGGTTATATTAAAAAAAATTATTAATGTTTATATTGGAATTGTAAAATGAATTATAATTTGAAATAATTTTTTTTCAAAGAATCTTATAATTTGAAATAATTTGAAACGGGTGTAGTAATGTGTCACTATTTAATTTCATGAAAATTTCAATTGAATATATTCACATTTTAAAAAGTAAAATATTTTTTTACACAAATTTACATTTTTTAAAAATATTTCTTAAAAATTAAAACTAGTCAAATAATTTAGTGTAGTTTGGATTTCAAAACGCGTAGAAATAATTTAATTTTAAAATAACTTTTTACTATGAACTCATATCTTTATTTTATATTTTATATGTAATTGATTCAAAACAAATATTAGAAGTATCATACGTAGCTAATTAATTATTTATATTAATTTTTAATAATATGGTTTTGTATAGAAGAAGCGAGGAGACAAAGAATAAAAGGAGACTAAAGTTCTAATAATATGATGTATAGTATTGAATAACAATTTGATAGAAAAAATAAAATACTATTTTTTTATTGGATTAAATATATTAATTCTTTTAATAAGATAGCGAGTTTTTAGTTTTTATTTTATTTTAAAATATTCAAATAATCTCATGTTAAAATTATTTTAATATTTGTTTTTAACGGATGCTTGACATCCAAAACATGGTTTCACTAGTTTCAAATGTCGAAAAGACACCAATTACATTATAGACGAATAAAAAAACTCATAACTTACATAAACAATTGATATATTTAAATCTAAATTCAATTATAAATCAAGGACAAATAATAATTATTAGGTAAAATTATGTTGGCACTCTATTAAGTTTGGCTTTTATTTTAAATTAATTCTTCAAGTTTATTTTTGAAATTTCTTGGAGTTTTAAAATTTCAAAATTTTTTGAAGGTATGATTTATACAATTTGAGAAATATTTTTAAACACATTGGACATGTGTGGTTTATAATGACAATTGTAGAGATTGGAAAACTCTCGGTAGAAATAGAGTTTTGTTTGCGACAATTCAAACAAATTTTTCTTGTAATTCATTTATAAATCTAACAACTTTGGTAAGTATAGTGAATCAAAGAGCTTTCTTCTGTAGAGTAGATCGTTTAATCTAAATGGATAAACAAGTTACTATGTTCTTCTATTTTATCTTCTTCTGGCTTGCAGTGGTTTTGCTTTCACTTTTGGTAGGTTATTGTGTTTCTTTAGTCCATTTATTTTGGTTAATTATCATTGGTCTTTGTCCCCGCACATCAAATTTCTTGGTGAGTTTAAACTCTAAATATTTCTTCTTAATTGTTTTAAATTATTATAGATATTTTCATGACAAGTGTCACCTACGACGGGACAAAGAGATATTGTTTACAAGTGAGCACCATGGATAAATGGGAGATCAATAAGTTTTTTGGAGACAACGATTTTGGGTTATGAAAACTGAAGATGCAAATAGTATTAACTCAAGAGAGGTGTATTAAAGCATTGAAGGGTGAGACATCGATGCCTTTACGGCTAAGACAAGCAGAAAATACCAAGATGGTGGATAAGGACAAGAGCGCCATTATCTTGTGCCTCGAGGATAAAGTAAAATTGCCCTTTATCAGCGTATCGATTATTTCTTTATTTTGATGTTTTGTTTTACGTTTATTGTTTATTTTGAGTTTCCTTGCTTATTAATCATCAAACACTCGCTAAAGAAGTTTGTCCATGAATTATGTTAAGTTGACTAAAATCATAACTGTTTGAATTTGATTCACAAGCCTTCCTGATTTAAAATCATAACAAGTTTTCACCATATCCATTTCTGCTTGCGTAATCTGATTTTTAAATCGAAAAGTAGGGACTTTTAATTGTCTATTCAACCCCTTTTTTAGACAAATTACTCCATATTCAAACCAACAATTGGCATAAAGAGCTTGTTCTTTTGATAAGATTTAATAATCTTAAACTTTATTGAATACGGCGCAAATTGATTCGAAAGGAGCGTATAATAGAGCCCCAATTGTCACTGGTGAAAACTATACCTATTGGAAGAATTGCATGTACGTACACCTTATATCCATGGATATACAATATTGGTTAGCCATAGAAAACATACCTTTTGTTCCTCAAAAAGTCGTTGATGGGGAATTAGTTGCAAAACCACACAAGGATTGGAATGAGGCTGAAATTAAAAAGCTTCTTATGATTCGAAGGCGATAAATATACTCATCTCATCATTGAGCATGAATGTATATTTTTCTATATCACATTGTAAGACGACTCAAGCAATATGGAACTCTCTTCGAGTTCTCTATGAGGGAACCAAAGACATGTAAGTTTAATACACTAACAGAGAATTCAAACTCTTCCGCATGAAACCCAGTGCAACTATGGCCTCCATGCAGATGAGATTTTCCCATATAATCAATAAAATTGAGAATTTGGGTAAGAATACTTCTAATCAAGATTGTGCTAATAAGACTTTAAGGTTTATGTGCAGGGAACGGTAGCCAAAAGGCATGACTATCAAAGAATCTCATGACCTAAAGACTTTAGACATGTCAACTCTCTCTGGTAAGCTTACTGAACAAGAGCATAAGTTGAAGAGACTTGAAGCGAGTGAAAGTAATTCCAAGTGCAAAGCTAAAAGTAAAGAAGAGAAAAAGAACATCTCCCTAAAGGCCTCCACTTCCAAGGTCAAAGTAGAGGAAGATGAAGGGGACTCGAGTGACCCTTTGAAAGACGAAGAGATGGGATCGTTTGTTAAGCGCTACAACAAGTATATGAGGAGAAATGGTCTAAAATACTCAGACAAAAACCTAATAAAGTTCATAAAATTAAATCACTGAAAGAAATGGGATAAGAAAAAGAAAGAAGAAAAACAAGTCACATGCTTCGAATGCAAAAAAACTGGTCACTATAAAAGTGATTGTCTAAGTTTGGCAAAACGCAAAGGAAAGCAACATTACCACAAGTCCAAAAGCCAATGCAAGGGACGACGTACGTACATAGCTTGGGAAGAACATGAATATTCATCATCATCCTCTTTGAGTTCAGACAAAGAAGTAACTAGTCTATGTTTGATGGCTCAAAACAAGCAAAAAGAATCCGATGTAAGTGACTCTGATTCTCATTCTTTACCTTCTTATAGTGAGTTATCTGAGGCGTTCCATGAGATGCTTAATGATGCATTAAAAGCTTTTAAGAATATATCCTCTCAAAAGAAAAAGATTTTGAAACTTGAGGGAGAAATCTTAAAACTTCAATATGCTCTTGAGTCCTTGAAAGAGGACCATGCATCTTTAGTAAACGACCAATTGTGCACTCCTCCAACTCTATATGAAAAGGAAAATTTATTTAAGTGTGTTATTTGCCCTATTTTGATAATTGAAATAGAAGACCTAAAGGGAAAAATAACACAATTAACTAAAACAACTATTGTTACATCTATTAGTTCAAGTGATGATGAGCAAAGTCTTAGAAAATGGAGTAAGAAAAATGTTCATGTTACTAGAAAGAATAGAAAGAATATTTTCCCTAGAGTTGTATGCCACTGTTGTGGTGAAAAGGAACACATTAGGCCTAAATGCCACATTCATAATGTGAAAATTCCAAATGGTCTCATTGCATGGAAACCTAAGAGTCATAACAATAACCCCTAAGGACCCAACACTAGTTTGGGACCAAAATTTCTGTGTTGATTGTCTTATAGGAATGTATTACAGTTGCAAATAGGATGTGGTTCCTAGATAGTAGTTATTCAAGGCATATGACAGGAGACACATCGTTATTCATTGACTTCGTCAAGAAAGAGCGAGACTTTATTACGTATGGAGACAACAACAAAAGTGCTAACACAGATGATAAATTCGACGATGACTTTCCAAAAGTAGATCCTCTAAAAGATGAGGATATTAAATATGATGAAGAGGAAAGTGAACAAGAGGATAATAAACAAGATACCTCAAACCAACATCCTCAAGACTGAATCACCACAAAGGACCATCTATTTTTCAACATATTAGGAGACATTAAAAGGGGAGTAAGCACGTGTTTACAATTAAATATTTTTTTTTGTCAACGTGTGTTTATGCTCTATTATTTTTCATCGTATGCTTGTATAAATTGGCATTACATTTAAATTTATTCGCGTAATATTTATCAGTTTATCACATACATTCATTTTTTCTACTATCACATTTATTCATTTAATCATTGCATTTCATGCATTTAAAAAAAAAATATTTTCATCAAAAATATTTTATTTTACATTGAAAACATTTTATTTTGCATTAAAATCTTTTTCAAAATTTTTTTCATTAAAGTTTTTTTCTTTATTCAAAACATGAATCAATTCATAAAAGTGTCTAGAAAGTTGATTTATATTCTGTTTGCTCAAATCGAATCATACCTGCAGTGAATCATATCAGTTCATTTTGAACTGACTCATGTTACTTGCATTGGCACTTGCGTTTTGCTCTTCATTCATCAATCATACATGACA